GGGGGGGGGGAAGAATAGTAAAACCCGTGATTAGCATATGTCTAAACAATTCTTGAAAGAGGGAGCCATCGTCAGCCCTGTCACTGACACTAGCTATCACTCGGGCTACTTCCTGGTGCCTACGCCTGTTACACAGAATAAACGGGGACTCGATTTTGACTTTGATACGTAGACAGTTGAAAGCAACTTACTATATACATTTCCACGGCTACTGCCCGTATAAACATAACGGCGTCCAGTTCTTTCCGGTGAAAATTTCGCTCGTATGAGAGTATGTTGCAACGAATGTCCTCGAAGTGTCAGGATTGATCCATCACCTGCTGATTGATGCATCATAAACCACAGCAATTAAATTTTACCAATTATTAAAGATCCAAAAATGCTACTTAAATATATTAATAAAGTTGATACCTTCCAGTGGATCTGCAAAAGTTAAATCTTTTGGTACACACTGAAACCTGTAATCCCATCGTTGGTTTCGGACTGCTTTGATTGTTTCTTTCTGAAAGTAGATCTTTTTCAAAATCAAACACAAACAGGGAGGTTTTATCTCTAACAGAATTCATGCCGTGTGGCAAGAATGACAGATAATGGATGATGAAACGAAATTGGTGGACGGATATGGGATAAAAGGATAAAGGAGGGCCATAGGAACACTGGATCGATTCAATAACTCCAATGTATGGGGATGATGTGGATATGGAAAGCACAAAATCTCAATCGGTGGAAAAGTTACTGCTTTCTTCCAGTATTCTAGGTGAAAAACTACGAGCAACAGTAATCCAAGAGAAGATCTAAAAACCTCTGGGTTATCAATCTTCGATGGAATTAAGATAAAGCCAAATTCGGGGTTATTTTTCGTGCACCGTGTACCAAAGAAACAGACAAACTGAACCAACTGTAGCAACCAAGTTGACCTTGGAAGCCTAAATGGCGAAGGCGCGATATATTACAGCATGAAAGAACAGTATAAGAAGGGAAGGTAAGAGTGAGATAAGACGTTTCGGTCCATTAAGTCATATGCTTAACACAACACTGCGACTGGACTTCGTCAGTATGACAGTGTCATTCTGCGTCCTTTTCTCGGGCCGATATTGCTTGATTTCGTCCAAACTTGACCAAACAATGACATTATTTTCACAACAGAGATATAAATTTTCAGACTACAAGACATCAAGAGCACTCCACCGATGAAGTGCTTGGGGAAGATTTCGTGAAAAATGCTAAGAAAATCAAGATTAGGCGTCTTTCATGGCAAATATAAATGAATCAGCCGGAAAGTTTAGCAATCACGGATACGCTAAGTCCAGTGAGTATTAATCAATATCGAACATAACAATAATAATAATACTTCAGCTTTTCGTGATGACATTTTGCGCAAATCCCAAAGTTTTATGGTTTGATCTTTCGAATTCGTTAAAATATATCTATCGTCACCATGACCATCAATGTAGGTAATACCATCACGATGTCCTGCGAATAAGCCAACTGGTGTTTCACAGCCATCACCAAGCACACGTCTATCCCAAACCTGAAATGGAAATAGTGGCGCATATTCAATTCCTGGCTAAGAGGCACAAAACTATCAATTTTTTTCAAATCGGCATCAATTTTCAATAAATTTGGTCGCCAGCAAAATAAACAAAAAAATCTATTCGATTACCTTGCACAGGCCATCGTCACCTGCACTGAAAAAAAGAGCTGGTGTTGTTTCACTGCAATAGACCGCATTCACATCATCCACGTGACCATGAATCTGCAATTTGTTCATGCCTTTCACGCTGAAGATCGAAGGTTTGACTTCGCTGCTTCACAACTGATCCCTCTACGATTTGTTCATTCATTTCGATGATATTACTGGCACTTAAGCGTGGCAAGGAACTGGGAACCATATTAAACAATAAAAAAGTATAATTTTTTCGAAAACAATACGAAGAATACAGAACGGTCTGGAGAACTGTTTCCTACTACTTACTGAAATCATTTTTTTACTGCATACTTTGCTTTTACTTAAGTTTTGCAAATTAGTTAAATGTGCGTTCTGTGCACAGCGGAGGGCAGAGATCACCCGTTCAATTCGTCTTACGCCAATATGAGTATCCGTGAAACTCGTGTCATGGAAAGACTTAATAAGTAGACTACGAACTGAATAAAAGTCGAGCAGTATTAACAAACAAATGGAGCTTATTTACTTGGAAAGCAGGAAAAAACAGTTTCAAGTGTGAACTTTGACATGACCGTACGAGCTGTACAAGCGTGTACAGTGGCTGGATTTGAAATTTTTGGCTCACACATACAGGGACCGCTCGACAAAAATTGTTTATTATTCTTTATGCAAAACTTGACGATGACTTACGCTAGAAAGCGTGCAATGTAAATGTAAAGCAATAACCATTCATACAGTTAATGACCTGATTGCTTGAAGTCAGATCTCGATAGGATCGTCACCGGGCTCTCTTCCACTTCGACTGGACACCACAACGGGTGGAAGCCTGTGTTACTGAGATGCTACTCCACGGCGGAGCAGAGTCAAAATTCCTAATGTGAATGTAATACGAAACAAAAAAAATCTGCAAAACAGAAATCAAAAAAAAAAAAAAAATACCAGCTGTAACTGCGATCCCTCAATGCTGTACATACTAATGCAACCATGTACTCCACCACCAATCAGTAGCTCACCATCAGCAGTGTAGCGAAGGGAGAAAAATGAAAATCTGAAATATTATTGTACTAAGAAAATCAATTCGT